CGCCCCCCCCCCCCCGCCTCTCGACCTGATGGCACGGGGTCCGGGGGGGCGCGTGGGGGTCCCCTTGAGGCCGGTCGACGGGTGATAGGGACGCGGCGACAGGGAGAGCTTCGCCAGGACTGCGTGTAATGAGGGCATATCCGGCCATTAGTATGCATGAGATGGACGCGCCCCCACGGTTGAACCAATCCGAGGGGGTGGGGGGGTGAAGGGTGGGGGGGAGGGGGGGGGAAGGGAGGGTAAGGAGGGTGACACGGGGGTCGGGGGGGGGGTAGGGGGAGGGTAAGGAGGGTGACACGGGGGTAAGGGGGTGACGGGGGGAAGGGGGGTGACACGGGGGTGGGGGGCGGGGAGGGAAGGCGAGGAAGGGAGGAAAGAGGTAAATGGGGAGAGAAGAGAGATAGACAGACAAAAGAAAGAAAGAGAAAAAGGAAGAAATGACTCATAAAGTAACACAAAAGAGAGAGGAAAAAGGAGACTGAGACAGTGATACAAAAGAGAGAGAAAGATAAAGAGATAGAAGTAGAGAAAAACAGAAGGAGAAAATGAGAAACGGAGAGAAGAGGGGAAACGGAGGGTAATCAGGAGATAAGGGGAAACAGACCGGATATCTGACTGGACGAGGCGTGAAAACGTACATACATATACATGCATACATATACACACATGCACGTATATACAAATATACATACATACATACACACATGCACGTACATATATATATACATACATAATACATATATATTATACATACATACATACATACATATATAAATACATTTATACATACATACACATACATTTATACATACATGCACGTACACACATACATACATACACACATACAAACATGCATACATTCATGCTTACATATATATACTTATCTACATACATACATACATACATACATACATACATACATACATACATACATACACATACAGACATACATGCACGTACATCCACTCGCTCCCCCAAACTTTCTCTCTGTACGTGCACATATTCCGGTAATGACTAAGATCATTATTCCAAGAAAACCTTTGACTTGAGGAAAAAAATGATCAGAAGCAAGAATCTCGAAAATAAAAATAAAAAAAAATAAAATAATAAAAAAAAAAAGAAGTATTGAAGAGAAACGAAATATAACGTTGATAACGAAAGCAATGAGGGTTTTACACAGGTTTTGAAGGTGTGTTTGCATTTGTCTGTCTGTGTGGACGTGGACGTGACTGTATCACATGCTTATACGGTGTGTGTGTGTGTGTGTGTGTGCGTGTGTGTGTGTGTGTGTGTGTGTGTGTGTGTGTGTGTGTGTGTGTGTGTGTGTGTGTGTGTGTGCACATACATATATATACATATATATACATATATATAGATACACAACACACACACACACACACACACACACACACACACACACACACACACACACACACACACACACACAACACACATATATATATATATATATATATATATATATATATATATATATATATATATATATATATATATATATATATATATATATATATATATATATATATATATATGTTATACAATATACAAATACACACACAACACAACACACACACACATATACATATACATAAATATACTCATAAATCTTATATGATTTATGTTACGCAACCATAAAAAATAGTTTATCCGCTTCTTCACATCCTCATAAATAATGCCAAGACAGGCTGTCATGTTGCAATAAATCAGCTCATTCCACCCTAACCCTTTCTACCATCAACTCCCCCCCCCCTTCCCTCCCTCTCACTCCCCTCCCGCACCTTTCCTTTCCCTTCTTCTTCCTCTACCCCTCTCCTCCCTCTCCTCTTCTATCTCTCCTCCCTCTCCCCTCTCTTCTCCATCACTCTTCCCCCATTCCCTCACCCTCTCCTCCCCCCCTCATTCCCTTTCCCTTCTCCTCCCCCATCCCTCTCTTCTCACTTCTCCCTCCCCTCCCATCTCTCATCCCTCTTCCCCTCTCCTCTCCCTCTCCTCTCCCCTCTCTCACTCTCCTCACCCCCTGCCTCTCCTCCCCCACCCTCTCCCCCTTTCCCCCTTCCTCTCCCCCCACCCCTCTCCTCTCCCTTTCTTCCTCTCCTCCCCCTCTCATCTCTCCGGCTCCCTCTCCCTCACCCCTCTCTTCCCCTCATCTCCCCTCTCCTCCCCCATCCCCTTCCCCTCGCTTCTCTTCCGGCTTCTCTTCCTCTTCCTCGGGCAACGTTCTTCTCTCGCCAAAAAAAAGGAATAAAAAAAAGACAAAAATAAATAATACAAATATGATTTTTTCCCCTTTGTGAGTGAGGTTGAAAGTACTCCGGGAGCCACGACCAGATTTCCTAAGACCATTTTCAGATTTTCCACTTTTTTTATAGCTGAACCCGTCTTCCCTGAGTAAACACTTGTCTCCCCTCTCTCTCTCTTTCCCCTTCTCCTCTTTTTTCCCCTTCCTAACTCCCCTCTCTTCCTTCTACTTTCCTCCTTTTGAGTCCCCTTCCCTCTTCCGCTCTCCACTCCTCCTTCTTGGATCTCTCCCTACTCTCCTCTCCTCTCCCTCTCCCTTCCTCACCCACTCCTTCCCCTCACTTGTCCCTCCCTTCCCTCTGCCTCACTGCTTACCCCTCTCCCTCACCTCACTTCCTCAACCCTCTTTCCTCTTCCCTTTTCCCTTTTCCTCTCCCTCTCTCCTCCTTTACCCTCTCTCACCCCTCCTCCTCCCCTCTCCCCTCTCTCCCTCACCCTCTCCCTCTCCCTCCTCACCCCTCTCCCTCTCCCTCACCCTCTCCCCCCTCTCTCTCCCTCGATCGCCCAGACCTGCTAATAAATGGAGAGTAAATAATATGATTGAATTATCTCGACTGAGTATTAGATTAAACAAAACACTGTAGGAAAAAGTGGGGGAGTCCTCCTTCAATATTTTTTCTTTCCCTCTTTTTCTATTTTTTCTTCCGTTTTCGAGTGTTTATTCTTTAATTATTATTTATTCGAGCTCTTATCTCCTCTTATCCCTGCCTTCTATCTTTTTTTTTGTTTTATTCTTTTATATCTGTTTGTTTTAATCTTTGTTCACACTTTTCTTCATGGTTTTTTTTCTAGTTTTTATTATTTTATTTTATTTTATTTTATCCTTCTAGAGCTATGGAAATTTTGATGATTTATGTTGAAAAATATGGTGTTTATATCGGCCATTTTGTCATTTTTGATATCAAAATTAACGATCATAAATATTATGGTGATGGTGATGGTGATGATGATGATGATGATGATGATGATGATGATGATGATGATGATGATGATGAATGATGATGATGGATGATGATGATGATGATGATGAATGATGACGATGATGATGATGATGGAGATGATGAAGATGATTGATGATGAAGATGATGATGAAGATGATGATGAAGATGAAGATGAAATGAAGATGAAAGATGAAGATGAAGATGATAGATGATGAATGATGATGATGATGAGATGAATGACGAATGATGATGATGATGAAGAAGATGATGATGATGATGATGACGACCGAAAATGATCATACACCAACACCGCAGCGCCCCCAAAACGAATCCAAATACGGCATCCCCCCCCCCCCCCGTGGCTATCCCAGGGGACCGCGTGTGCCCAGAGCTCATCGTTCCCCCTAGCGGCCCTCTCTTTCTCTCTTTCTCTCTCTCTCTCTCTCTCTCTCTCTCTCTCCTCTCTCTCCTCTCTCTCTCTCTCTCTCTCTCTCTCTCTCTCTCTCTCTCTCTTTCTCACTGTCTGTCCTGTCTGTCTGTCTCTCTCTCTCTGTATCTATCTCTATCTCTCTATCCTCTCTCTATCTCTATCTCCCTCTCTCTCTCTCATCTCTCTCTCTCTTCTCTCTTCTCTCTCCTCTCTCTCTCTTCTACCTCTACCTCTACCTCTACCTCTACCTCTCTCTCCGCTCTCCTCTCCTCTCGCTCCCCTCTCCCTCTCCTCTCCCTCTCCCTCCCCCCTCCCCCCCTTCCCCCGCTTCCCTCTTTCCTCCTCCCCCTCCCCCCTCCATCCTCCCTCCTCCCTTCTACCTGTTTGCTCAGGTCTAGGAAAGTGGTGAGAGAGCGAGGGAAAGGAGGGGAGGGAAGGGGGGGGGTACTCTCTTCCCTTATTAGTCTGTACCCCTCTTATCTTCGTTTTCCACTTCTTTGCTTCTTTTCCTTGTTTTCTTTCTTTCTTGTTATTTTTCCCCTTTCTTGTGTTAAATCTCCTTTTTTCCCATTTCTTCTTCGTTGCCTTCCATTTCTTTTTATGCTCTCCTTTCTTTTTCTCTTTTTCCTTTTCACCCTTCTTCCTTCTCTAACGTTTCTCTCTCTCTACTTTCTCTTTCCTTATCCTGCTCCCTTGCTCTTTCCTTCCATCTTTCTCCCTTTTCCCCTTTTCCCCTCCCTTCCTTCCCCTCCCTCTCTCCCCCTCCCTCCTCCCTCCTCCCTCCTCCCCTCCCCCTCCTCTTCCTTCCCTCCCTCCTCCTCCCTCCCTCCTCCCTCCTCCTCCTCCTCCTCCCTCCTCCTCCTTCCTCCTCCCCCCTCCCTCCTCCTCCCTTTTCCCCTTCCTCCCCTCCCTCCTCCCTCCCCTCCTCCTCCTCCCTTCCTCCTTCCTCCTCCCTCCTCCTCCTTCCTCCTTCCTCTCCTCCTCCTCCTCCTCCCTCTCCCTCCTCCTCCCTCCTCCTCCTCCCTCCTCCCCTTCCTCACCCCTCCCTCCCCTCCTCCCTCCTCCTTCCCCTTCTCCCTCTCCCTCCTCCTCCTCCTCCTCCCTCCCTCCCTCCTCCCTCCTCCCACCTCCCTCCTCCCACCCTCTTCCCTCCTCCCAACCTCCCACCTCCTCCTCCTTCCTCCCTCCTCCTCCCTCCTCCCTCTCCCTCCTCCCTCCCTCCTTCCTCCTTCCTCCCTCCTCTTCCTCCCTTCTCCCACCTCCCTCTCCTCCCCCTTCCTCCCTTCCTCTTCTCCTTCTTAAGTACTTACCAGACCGTGAGGAAGACGTTGAAGCAGATGACGTTGAGCCAGAAGAAGGCCGCCATGTACCAGAAGTGCATCATCACGGCTGTCGGGAGAGGAAGTGACGTCATCAGTCATCCTTTTGGGGAGGCTCCACGTGGGAGGAGGCGGGTGTTGTAGGCCTATGTGTCGATTTTTTTTTTTTTTTTTTTTTTTTTTTTTTTTGGCTGTGGTTGTCTGAGGGAGGGAGGGAGAGGGAGGGAGGGAGGGAGGGAGGGAGAGGAAGGAAGGAAGGAGGAAGGAAGGAAGGAAGGAAGGAAGGAGGAAGGAAGGAAGGAAGGAAGAAGGAGGGAGGGTGGAGAAGATGGGGGGGGGTAGGAGGAAAGATGGGTGGATGGGGAGAAAAAGGAGGGTAAACGAGGGAAAGGGAAGAGAGGGGAATGGGAGGAAACGGAGGGGAAGTGGGAGGAAGAGGAGGGGAAGGGGAGAGGGAAGATGGGCGTGAGGATGAGAGAGAGAGAGAGAGAGAGAGAGAGAGAGAGAGAGAGAGAGAGAGAGAGAGAAAGAGAGAGAGAGAGAGAGAGAGAGAGAGAGAGAGAGAGAGAGAGAGAGACAGAGAGAGACAGAGAGACAGAGAGACAGAGAGACAGAGAGACAGAGACAGAGACAGAGACAGAGACAGAGACAGAGACAGAGACAGAGAGAGAACAGAGAGACAGAGAGACAGAGAGACAGGCAGACAGAGAGACAGACAGACAGACAGACAGACAGACAGACAGGACGAGAGACAGACACTGAGACAGGGAGACAGAGAGCAGAACAGAGACAGAGACAGACAGGACAGAGACAGACAACAAACAGAGGCCACAGTAAAAAAAAACATAGACACAGATACAGCTAAGAGACTGTAAACAAAGAGAAAACAAGTTCGGAAGATGCCGGCAGATTAAGAAGCATCTCCCACCCTGTTTGTTGTTGTTGTTTACAGAGAACACGTTTAGGTTAACCAGACTTGTAATCTGAAGAGCTGGGAGGAGAGAACAAATCCACTGCATTTTTTTATATATATAATTTTTTAACTGTTTGTTTAGGGCTTATCAGGAGCTGGTTAATGTGTGCTATTTGAAGCTCATATTACCATCATGTACGTCATACACCAACACTTGCTTATATGTAATTATATCAGTGGTTATCTGATCCAAATATGGGAACTGTTATAATTTTGCAGAATATAAATTAAGGATTTCATTAATAATGATCTTAAGCTCCAAAGTGTACGGCAAAGAGAGAGGGGGAGAGGGAGAAGGGAGAGGGAGAGGGAGAAGGAGAGGGAGAGGGAGAGGGAGAGGAAGGGAGGGAAGGGAGAGGGGAGAGGGAGAGGGAGAGGAGAGGAGAGGGAGAGGGAGAGGGAGAGGAAGAGAGGAGAGGAATAGGAGGGAGGGAGGGAGGGAGGGAGAGAGAGAGAGAGAGAGAGAGAGAGAGAGAGAGAGAGAGAGAGAGAGAGAGAGAGAGAGAGAGAAGAGAGAGAGAGAGAGAGAGGAGAGAGAGAGAGAGAGAATAGGGGGTGAGAGGGAGAGGGGGAGAGAGAATCAACAAATCAACAGACAGTCAAAAGAGCCGAGCAGACACTGAACATCGAGACAAAAAACACGAAAAGAAAAAACATACAAAAACACAAACACACAACTCCCCACCCATCTACCCCCTCCCCAACCCCTACCCCATCCCCCAACCCCCTACCCCCAACCCCCTTCCCCCATACAAACCACCACCACCCCCAAAAAAAAAAAAAACACTCCCCCCCCAAAAATAATAATAATAAAAAAAAAAAAAACACTCACCGGTGAAAATACACTCCGTCATGGACAGCTTGTGGGTGGCCAGCTGCACCACCACCGTCGAGATCTGGGCCAGGCACAGGGAGGCCACGGCGCAGATCAGGCATCGGCCGAGGAGGTCCCTGAGCTCCACCACCAGGCAGTAGACGAAGAGGGTCAGTGCCAGGAAGATGGAGGAAATGATCATGCCGATGGGGTAGAGGGTCTGGTACACGAAGTGGTGGAAGGTCGGCTCGGCTGTTGGATGGGAGTGGTTGGTGGTTGGGGTGGGGGGGAGAAGAAAGTTAGTAATTTTTTTTTTCTTTTTTTTTTTTTATTTGGGGGGGGGAGGGGTAGTTTAGTAACGATTTTTTTTTTTTTTTTTGGGGGGGGGGAGAGAAAAAGGGGTAGTTTACTAACATTTCTTTTTTTGGGGTTGGGGTAGAGAAAATGCGACAGTTTAATACCGATTTGTTTTCCTTTTTTTTGGGGGAGGGGGTGTTATCAACTTAACTGTTGGTTATTTTATGCCGTGGGTGATTTTATTTATTGCTATTATCATTCTCACTTATTAAGATTAATTGCTGTCGTTTGGAAAAATGGCAAAAAAAAAAGTTCAAAACTTTTTTTTGTATGGTGATCATTTTGATGGCAAACATTTCATGAAGCAAATTCAGTATACATTGTTTTATTCCATTAACCTTTTAGAT